TTTATAGGGTTTAGGGTTTCGGGTTTCGGGTTTCGGGTTTCGGGTTTAGGGTTTATAGGGTTTATAGGGTTTCGGGTTTAAGGTTTAGGGTTTACGGTTTGGGGTTTAGGGTTTAGGGTTTAGGGCTTAGGGACCAAACCCCAACCGTAAGACGCAGACCCGAAATTTTCAGATCCACAGCCCCAAAACCCTAAGATTGGGGCCTGAATCATTAGAGTAGGGTTTTGGGGCCCCAAGTTACTATAGTTATCAGAAGGAGCCCCAAAAAATAGTACAGGTAACTATCTAAATTTAGGCCTCTTTTTTAAAATAAAGTTTCCACCCAGGGGGCTTGGAGAAGAGTCCGAAAAAGCCGCCCTGTGACCGCTCGGCATCCAGGGCGGAGGGCCGACGATCTACAGCGAGGCCTGAGAATCAGAATAAGATTTTGGGGTAATACCGGGGCCCTTAATAATTAGAATAGGGTTTTGGGGGGTATATTATCTAGAAGTGTATAATAAAGGACTCCCAAAATAGTATGGGAAATTATTTAGGCCCCTGCATTACGTTAGGGTATAGTACGAGCCCGGTTTTGGGACTTTGGGATTCAGTGCCCGCGTGGATTAGAGCGCTGGACATGCAAGACTTGGCATATCAGTCGAGACCACTTGCAACGAGATTCAGGGTGCTGCTATGTGCTTTAAAGAACCGCAATTGAGCTCCTGCTCCTTTAATTATAGCTCCTGTGTTGATTCTCCTGCAGGGGCCTGTTAGCCCCTGTTCCCGCTTGCTTGTTTAGGGATTGACGCAGGAGGGCCGGAGGGGGGTTGTCACTGCCAGGATTGTGCCAACCCCATGGGAAGATCGTAGGGATGGTTCTGACGACCATCATCGCTGTGGGTACTCATAACCGTAATCAGAATGCACTGAGAATACGAATGGTTGAAAGTTTAGAAGAACCAGTCTTAACTAATAACTTGGTTGCAGTTTTGGGGCCCTTCAGAACCATAACAGTTTCCCAAAGTGCCACCTAGATAAGCATAACAAACATGGTCGCTCTCACCGAAAATCTTCCGTGGTCTCCCAGCATTCCTTTGGTGAGGTGGTCAAGTCTCATGACGTTCGATTCAACTGTCGACTCTAAAGCAATCCCTAAGCCATGACAATAAGTTGCCCTGATGCTTCCATTGCTCGTTCGTGAAAACCAAACTTTCCATGTGTCGGGGATTTCGGGGGCACGAGTAGGGTTGGATCTAGGGTCGGGCCTCATCCATCTTGAATGTATGCGGAAGCCGTCACATCACTGAACCTCACACCCTGTGAATCGGACGTGGCCGGATCTCCGTGGGCGGAATCTTGGGCCTGGTTCTCTTGGCCCAGCCAGAGGCGACCGACAACACGACCAACAGCAACAAACAACCACCACGACGACCACCACGACGACCACCACCAGAACAACTAGCACAAAAGCAGCAGCAGGGGAACCGTACTCACGACCTGCAAGCATGCACTCGTCTAAGGCCAAGGCATACAGCGAGCACCTTCCGTTATTCCGCGCCAGGATCCGGGCTTTTAGGAGTGTAGGAGCTCCGCTGCTAGAACATCCTGCCCACGTGTGCGCGCGGCCTTGCCCCGTTCGTTTTCTTCTACTAAAGTGGGACTGTCCGTGGTTCCCGAACAGTCTATGTCAGAATCCGAAACTACATCACACAAACGAACACGACAACCTCGAACCAGGGATAACAGACAACACCTTGAGGCCATGCTGCAAAGATCACACCGCATCTCTGAAACAACAAACCTTAAGCCCTGAAAACATGAACAGAAAACCCCGTAAACCCGAACCTGTCAAGACCTGAATTTCTGAATGCTAAGCCCTGAAAACCCGACGCTCTAAAATGCTGAACCACTTGAGACAGTAACTCCAAAATCCAAAACCCTAAACCCCGTATATACAGTAACTCCAAAATCCAAAACCCTAAACCCCTTGTATACAGAAACTCAAAAATCCTAAACCCTAAACCCCTTATATACAGAAACTCCAAAATCCTAAACCCTAAGCCCCTTATATACAGAAACTCAAAAATCCTACACCCTAAACCCCTTATAGAAGCCCGAAGCTCTAAACCTCCAAACCCCGCCAAAAAATCCTCAAAACCCAAATCCTCCCTAAACCCTAAACCCTAAACCCCTAAACCCTAACCCTAAACCCAAATCCTGCTCCGAGTGGCGGTAAGAGCCCAACTCGGTGGGTTGACCAAGGGCAGCGAGTTGGTGCAGCTGGTCCTGATAAGGGTCTTCTAGAAGGGTGATATAAAGCTTTAGGGTTTAGGGTTTAGGGTCTTCTAGAAGGGTGATATAAGGGCTCAGGGTTTAGGGTCTTCTACAAGGGTGATATAAGGGTTTAGGGTTTAGGGTCTTCTAGAAGGGTGATATAAGGGCTCAGGGTTTAGGGTCTTCTAGAAGGGTGATATAAGGGTTCAGGGTTTAGGGCTTTAGGGTTCAGGGTTTAGGGTGTAGGGTGTAGGGTTAAGGTTGTAGGGCTGAGGGTTTAGGGTCTTCTAGAAGGGTGATATAAGGGTGATGCGAAGGTTCTTAAACGGCTCTCTAGGTTGATAATCTAGGGCTTGCCAAGAGGTTCTACAAGGATCTGAAGGGGTCTGGTAAGGGCCTTTTCTGGAATAGTCGCTGAGAGATTTGTGAACTTCTCCAAGGAGCTTTTCAGCGATTAACTCTTGCTGGAAATTACCTAGGGCTCTCATCGGATGTTTTGCTGCTCGGCGTGAATGGCCCTGCCATGGGCTCGTAGTCTTATACTTCCCACAGATCCCCAACTGCAACTACGGAAGTACTTTAGTTCCTCGGATGCCCGTGTAGGTTCTGGACCTAGAGAGCCACCTGTACTTGGAGGTTCATGGGTAGTTATAAGTGGAGTTATAAGTCCCCTAATATGGGTTATAACTACAGTTACCCCACTTATAACCCCACTTATACCTACCCATGAACCTCCAAGTATGAAAGACCAAAGGATGCTTGCAAGAACTCGTTTGGTGTGGCCTCCCAGTGATGCCAGGACGTAGGGTCGTGCTCTGAGAAGTTGGAGTGCGACTCATCATCCTGGCCTGCTTGGAGGTTCATGGGTAGTTATAAGTGGGGCTATAAGTGGGGTAACTGTAGTTATAACCCATATTAGGGAACTTATAACTCCACTTATAACTACCCATGAACCTCCAAGTGGTGCCCAAGCTTCGAGTTTGCAGGGTGCAAGTCTTCGGGCTTAGGTTTCGGAAGGTTTCGAAGCCATGCTTTGGGATGGGCTTCACGCCGCCTTCGCGACTCCCCTAGAAGAGCCCGACTTCGGTAGCGTGTTGCGAACACCATCGCCAAGCATATCGGCACCGATTGATGGCAGACCGGGTAGGACCGTTGTCGGCTGGAGACGGCATCAAATGCCAAGGACTACATGGACGGACCCGTGGTTGAATGGGCACACTGCGCCAACCATGCTTGCTGAAACGACAGTCATCTTAAGGCTCAGCCTTCGAAGCTCATAAGGCTTTGCAGAGTACAGCCTCAAGGCAGTCTGGGGTTTCATTCGGGGTTTCTGTGGCATGTCGTCCTCAACCCTAAACCCCAAACCGTGGCCTGGCAAGCTGCTCAAGTTCAAGCCGCTGTTCTCAGCAAAGAGGACCTGGGGCAATCTCGGAACTCGGAGCAAGCTCGGCTCGGTCAGGCCAGAAGTACAGATGTACATTGATGTAATATAGGGACCTTGATAATTAGAATATGGTCTTGGGGTCCTTTATACTATAATTATAGTACGGAACCGCAAAATGGTATCGGTAGTTATTGACTCCCTACATTACGTACTGACCGGCTCCCACTTTTGTCGAGGATCCCCGCAAGCCCCAAACCCCGCAGCTCGAAACCGTCAACTCTAAACGTCAACACCCATCGGCCCATCGATCCGAGACCTGACCTATAAAACACCCCCCAAGCCTAGTGCTTCCCCTTCTTGCAGCTCAAGAGGCCCGCGGCCTGCAGGCCGTGAGCAGACTTCGATAAATCAGCGGCGGCACGCCCAAAGCAAAGTCGATGGAGAGGAAGTCCAGGCGTTCCGGGCACACTGTGCCGGTCAAGTACCTGAAGGGGTCCCTCTTCGTTGGGTGGGGTTTAGGGTTCTATGTTGAACTCGGGTTATGGACCGGTTGAGGGCTTTGTCTTCGCAAGAGCTTTAAAGTTTCCTGAACGTTGGGACCAAGATAAAACGAAATCGGCAAGTGAGCTGCATTGACCCTTCATGCCGAATTCCCAGATTAACGGCACGTGCTGGACATTGGGGGTTTGGGTTGGTTCCAAGACCCTTAAACCTCAGCCTTAAACATCATCCCAATCATTCTTTTGCTCCGTAAGGTTGGCGATACGATGTCTGGGTTGCGTGAAACGTCTTTCAGGATTTAGGGCTACCAGGTTGAGGGTCTTAATGGCCTCATCTTAACACATTTTTACGACTAGCAGCGTATAGTTGCGTGCTTAATGGCTGTGAGGCCTTCGGCAGACTCATGAAGAAAAGCCGCTTTTGATCCTGTCGGTTTCAATTTCAATCTTAATATATCGCAATCTCAATCTGTCAAGTTCAAGGCTTCTTGCTCGAACTCACGAGTCTTGAGTGATCAGCATGGCCAGCTTCCCTGTCAGAAAATTGCAGATCCTGCCTGCGACAGCCCTCTTCCGTCATGTTCTCGCAGAGGATGCCACAGCGAAGGTCAACGTACTTGGACATGCCCTCAGCCTAGCGATGCAAATGGGTACTTCTCTAAATTAGGGTCCTTTTGGGGGTCCCCAATATTCTACGGCACCTTATAAACAGGACCCCCAAAGCGATCCTAATTTAGACAACTACCCAAATAGTTAAAAGACTCGAGAACGGGCTGAAGCTGGCCTCCAGGTAGGCCAAGCCTCTTCTGCAGCGCTCCTGGCAACAGCACAGGGTGGCCGAGTCCGCTGAGACTGTCTTTCGAGTTGCGACAGAAAATTCACCACAGTGTGGGCAACCCTAAACCTAAACCCTAAACCACGATTTTAGGGTTTAGGGTTTAGGGGGTTTTTGCGCATGAGATGGCAACCTTCAGTTCGACCCTTACCATGGTGACTGGTGACTCCCCATCCAGTCGGATCCTGAATCGCACGGCGCCCCCTAAGCTCAAAATGAAACAAGTAGGCTCCTGAATATCGGGACCCCTATATCAGGCAGCCCTCCTGCCTAAACCCTTCGTGTAATTTAAAGAGGCCTAAACCCTATACCCTAAACCTTAAACATCCCCAAACCCTTCGTTCAAAGAGGCCTAGACCCTAAACCCTAAATACTAAACCATAAACATCACTATAAACCCTTCGTTTAAAGCCGCCTAAACCCTACACCCTAAACCCCCAACCCCTAAACATCCCTATAAACCCTTTGTTTAAAGAGGCCTAAACCCCATAAATACCAAACCCTAAATATACCTATGAGCCCTCTTCGTGTAAAGAGGCGGCCATGGCCTCGCTGGCTTCGAAGGTGAAGGCCGGCCTGGGGTCGGCTCCCGCTCGTGCCTTTCTGAGCCGCTTGTGGCTTAGCGGCTTAGGGGCTTGGGCAGGGGGTTTAGGGGTTTTAGGGGTTTAGTAGGGGTTTAGTAGGGGTTTAGTGGGGTTTAGGGTTTTGGGTTTAGGGGTTTAGGGGCTTTAGGGGTTTAGGGTTGAGGCTTTCAGGGTTTCGGGCTCAGGGGCCCAAGGGTTCAGGGTGGAGGTCTGGAAAAAGGGGCACAGGAGGAACCTCCCGATTACAGTTGGGTTTACGGTTTAGGGTTTAGGGGTTCAGTACCTGAGAATTGTCATGCCTGGGTTGCCTGCAGATGTGCTTCTGACACCTAGTCTGATGCAGACGTGAAAGATACGCAGTTCCTAGGTGTCCCGAATACTATAGGGGCCTTAAAAATTAAGAAATACCAATACCATTTTATTTTTTTGGGGGTCCCTACTATAATTATTATAATATCATGGACCCCCCAAAACCCTATTCTAAGTGATAAGGCCCCTAGCTTACCATGGTTATATTATAACTGATAATATACCCCAAAAGCCCTAACTATTAAGGCCCCTTTTTTTTACCTGAATCCTAGGCTCGGTGCTTTGGAGCGGAGGCCCAAGGCGGCTGAGAAAACTCCGTTCCTCGGCAGGCAGTTGGTTGGGTCTACGCGTCTTAGGTTGGGGCCTTAACAAGTAGAATAGGGCTTTGGGGCCCATTATACTATAATTATAGTATGGAGTCTTAGGAGGGCCTAAGTAAGTAGAATAGGGTTTTGGGGCCCAGTATACTACAATTCTAGTATGGAGCCCCCGAAATAGTATTGGTAATCATTTTGGCCCCTTCCTTACGAGTTCGGGGGTTAAGTATGAGCCTCCCTGAACCCTGAAGCCCAAACCCAGTGTGTGGGGTTATCGACGGTCGTGATACCTGGCTCCATTGATGCTCTCGATCGGATGGTCGGGTGTTAAGGACAAGGACTGTCGGCTCCAGGGCTTGTAGGGCTGAGGATTTAAGGGCCGGTTAACTGGCTTTTGATATCCCTCCGAGCCATGCGTCACTGCGAAGTGCAAACCGCTCTGGATCGGAAGGGTGATGACCGGCTTGGGTTTAGGGCTTAGGATTACACCCTGAAGCCAAGCATGACCCACTCAACCCGGTAAAGCACCTCTAGGTCCCCTAAACCCTAAACCCTAAACTCTAGGTCCGGATTGGACAGAGCCGCGGCCCTGGGTAGCCGTAGAACGTGAGGGCCATACGATGAAGCTCAGGGTGTTCGGCCAAGCACCTGCGCAGGAACGCCGGCAGTTTTGCCGACACGAGCTTGTTTGGTGTTAGGGCCTGCATACACCCCATTCCCCGCAACCAATGCAACAATGGAATCCAGCGTGTAAGTTCTTTCGAAAGCGTCTTAGAATAAAGAAACCTGTGACAGAGCATGCCAGTGGCTCTTAGAAGCAGGTTGGCGCCTGATGTGCCGCCCCGAGCTCGAGTGGGGATGCTCTGCCCACGCTTCGCTTCCATTGTTGTCCAAGGTGTCGAACCTTTATCTGGGTTTAGATTTAGGGTCTAGCGTTCAGGGCTTAAGGCTGATAGGGTTTACTTCAGGTTTATGGTTTAGGATTTCGTGTTTCAAGTTCAGGGTTTTGAGTTTGGGTTCCTGAAGCCAGCAAAGGGGAAGATATGTGAGCCACCCAGCGTCAAACCCAAAACCAACAGTAGGCAACATGGTGGACCTACGGCGAACCCTGCTTCGCACCAGGCAAAACACCAAACATGAGCACCCTAAACCCTAAACCTTAAACCCCAAACCCTAAACCAGCAGTGTCTACCAGACCCCAGAAAGAGAAGGTGCCAGTTGCGAACCCTAAGGGTCCATGTACTCATATAGTATATACATTGGCCCCAAAGTATCTATATAGGGACTACCTTAAGGGCAAAGTATATACTATTTGGGTACATGGACTCTTAGGGGAATGCAATTCACGTTCAGAAGCTTTACCGGAGCAGAGTTGTCGCTGTGCCGCGCTCGCTTGTTGCTACCACTTGGGAAAATTATCGTTCAGGTTCTTCGGTGGACGTATATGTGTGTTGACATAGCACTCTAAACCCATGACATCCTAGGACCATGAGCTTTCGACATGAGCTGTCACACTATCGGACATCACCACGGTACCAGTCTTCCTGAAAAGTTCAATTCCTTGTGCAGTACATCAAAAAACCCTGAACCAACCCATGCCTGCGCGAGCTGTAGTCGAGCGTCGATACTTGTTTCTGCAGGTTTGGTTCGGTAAACCCTAAACCCTAAACCCCTAAACCCCAAACCCTTCCGAGCTTCAGATCAAGATGCTCCTGGTAGTCGGAGCCGTGATCCGTTACAGTGTTCAGGCATGAGCTCAGGATGTGATGCTGCACAGCAAGACGGCACCATGTCTTTGGTACCAGTTATGCTTCAGCGACCGACTTGAATTCTTGCATATGTTGGGTTCAGACCACATCAAGTCACACCAGACTAAACAGATTCCCGATGCCTGGCAACCTCGAGTTCTAGCAGCCTGCATACATCCTGGAGTTTTGAGGCCTAAACCCAACCAGCCCTCCACTCTACAAACTCTAGAAGCCCACAAAGCCTCATAAGGCCTATGAGCCCAAACCCTAAACCCTAAACCCTAAACCCAAAGCCCTCTAAGCACGAAAACCCCTAAAAATGAGCCCAAGGAGCTCGAGCTCCTCGGCAGGTATCGACTCCAGGCAGATTGCGAGGTAGGCTGCCAGCCAGGAAGCCCCCGATGAGGAGGCCACGCTCGGAGAAGGGGCCTGCACCTCAGATTTGGGGTTAGGGGCTATATGCTGTATGATCCAATATACGATAATCTACGACCATATAGTGTAGTATAGCATAGTCTACTATGTTGTAATAAGTTTTTGCTATTTTTGTTGCCATTCTTAGTCTTGTTATACCAAAGTGTATTATCATAGAATAATATAAGCGCGGGGGTTCGGGGGCTTTGGGGTTCACAAATTGGAATAAAACGCTTGCAGTCGCAGCCTTTGCTGCGGGCTCGTGGGTGGCGCGTTGAAACGCGCTACCCGCTGCAGCTGTGTTGACCGCATTTTGGAATGCAGTCCATCCCAACCCCAAAAACGCGAAACCCTGCCATCCCAGGGAAGAGCTCCTTTTCTGCCCTCGAGGCCCTTCAAGCTCCAAACTCAGGAAGACAAAACCCGCCAAACATCGAAGCCCACCAGAAAGCCCCAAAAAACTCAAAGCACCAGAGCCTTGTATACGTCCTTCAACCCCCAAAAAGATCTTCAGCACCCTTGAAGTATCCCTGAGAAGTCCCTTGAAGGAACCCTGATAGACAACGGATAATCTAGGGGCTTAAATAATGACCTATGCTATTTTGGGGGTTCCGGGCCCCAAAACGGCTCCCTAAACCCCTAAACCCTAAACCCCTAAACCCGGGGTTCCGAGGCGCGGAGGAGGCCCAGGGAACCCACCAGTCGCTTCTCAGGGTCGGCCCGGCTCGGAGCGCCTCCCGGAGCCTCCACAGGGTTTAGGGTTTAGGGTTTAGGGGTTTAGGCAAGGCTTTCCAAGGGCTTAGGGGCTTAGGGGTTTAAGGGCTTCGGGGGTTTTAGGGGTTGAGGGGTTTTAGGGGTTTAGGGGTTTAGGGGTTTAGGGTTTAGGGGTTTAGGGTTTAGGGGTGGTCGGTTTAGGGGTTTAGGGTTTAGGGGTTTAGGGTTTCGGGTTTCGGGGTTGAGGGATTTAGGGGTTTAGGGTTTAGGGTGTAGGGTTTAGGGTTTAGGGGTTTAGGGGTTTAAGGGCTTAGGGCTTTAGGAGTTTAGGGGTTT